CTATGCTGAGCTGACCCGTAACACCACCCTCCCTCGAGTAGGCACGTAGGTGACGTTTTCAGGTGAAAGACGAAGTATTTTTACCGGGCTGGGGCGGGCTTGTTTTTGCACAGGCTGAGCCCCCAGTTTTCCCCTACCTGGCTAAAACCACTTCCTTTACTCAAGTGGCTTGTGTCTGCCAGGATGCCTGTCTCCTCTGCTCACTCATTCTTTTTTTTTTTTTTTTTTTTTTTTTTTTTTTTTTTTTTTTGGGGGGGTGTGTGTGTGTGTGTGTGTTTATGTGGGGGGGCAGCTCAGCCCACCAGGGGTGCTGGGGGATTGAACCGTGGTCCCTGTGCTTTGCTAAGCTTGTTCTAAGTAGGTGCTTTAGACCACTGAGCCATCTCACCAGCCTCACTCATTCTTAAGTTATTTCTTATTTATTTATTTTTGCGGAATCCGGGATTGAACTCAGGCCCTTGTGCTTGCCAGGCAAGCACTTATTTTACTGAGCTATATCCCTGGCCCCTTAAGTTATTTCACTAGACACAGACTACTTCCTCCTCTGCGCCTTAGCAGTATGAACTTTATGTTTCCTCAGGTTACTGTCAGTGCACTCTACTCCGAATGAGGGGGAAAAATACACACACACACACACACACACACATATATATGAAATATGTGTATGACATATTTATATATTCATATATGTATGAACATAAATTATATATATATACATATATATATACATATATATATACATAAGTGAGTTTTGTATCCTAGTGAGTTTTCTAGTTTGTTTAGAGAGGCCTTGCTAAGTAAGTGAATTGCAGCTGGGCATTGTGGCACACACCTGTAACCCCAGCACTCCAGAGGCTGAGGCAGGAGCATCGCTGCCTGTTTGGGCTACATAGTGAATTTAAAGCTAGCCTGAACGACACAGTGAGGCCTTATCTCAAATAAGTAAGCAAGCAAACAAACAAATAGCCCAGGCTGGGTTCAAAGTTGAGATTCTCCTGCCTCAACTTCCCAGAGTGCTAGGATTATGGATATACTGCTCCCACATACCTAGCTTGTTTCAGATATTTTATTTTAGGGGCTGGAGAGATGGCTCAGTGGAATAAGCGTTTCCCTGGCAAGCGCAAGGGCCTGAGTTCAATTCCTGGTTCTGCAAAAAA